TGTTATATTTATCCACTAAATATGGATAATATATATTCTATATTTAGAAATTCAAAAATGGTTTGGATAAATATAAAAAATTATAATATTAATTTTTTTTTATATTCATCTATATTTATCACTCATAATTATGCTTAGCAGTGGAGGTAAAGATTAGCTGTAAGTGAACTGTCAATTATTTCTATTAAGAAACTGTAATAGCCCACGTGCTTTTTGTTTGCATAGCTTAGCATTTCGATGAATTCTCAACACTTTTGATAGATAATTTATATATAAATAAAAGTTCAACACTTTAATTTGTTTTTAACCTAAGTTATGCAACCTCTTTTTGTTTGTTTTTGTTTTTACTATATATATCCAGAATAGTACGTTTGCACGAGACACTAGAGCCCTACGACACTCTTCACATGTATCGTCTGTCTCTCTTGATAACTATACTAATTACAAATAATGACCTTTCAATACTCTAGATCTAGAAGTTTGGATAAACTTAGAGTTTTGATAAGTTTGTTAATACAGATCAAACTACAGTCAAATGAAGATTTAGATCAAACCAACCTTTTTGAAGTAGTGCGAAAAACCAAACTTTTTGAAGTAGTGCAAATTTATTTGTACGGATAAATTTGTATATAACAAGCGGATCGAATATGAATCAAACGAATACATGTGGTTAGTAAATAAATCGCATAACAAAAAGAATGATCAGATGAATGTTATCTACACTAAGTGCAATTATCAAACTATGGTGCATTAAGGTTTCGCGGGCAGGATAGACAATCTTGGTGACTATTATGTTTAACCTGTAAGAAAGAACTAGAGCTGATTGAAAACACTTATTTTTAGTTGTGATTGAGAACACTTAATGGTTAAATAGTTGTGTACTTGTGTAGACCCATTTTTAGAAACATTAATTTTGGCCAAAACAAAATAGTCACACATGTCAACTCAATCATATTTATTAGTCTTCGTTTTTTTTGTCCCACTATCTTGCATTCTTAGAGCATGATCAACGATAGTTGTTAATTAAAGATGTTAAGTAATTTTTTTATTATTAATTGTATTGTGTTTAAAATTAGAAATCCAACATATTTTTTGTCTTCCAATGGTAGTTGCTATAGAGGATTGTTAATATTAAAGAAAAATAATTATGAAATAATTTTTTTTTAAGTAGAGTTTATTTTTTTGAAATTGATCATTGTATATTCAATAAAACATACAATTTTTTTTGTATTGAATGAAATTTGAAGTATACATGAAACAAAAACATTTAAAACATAGATTTCGAAATCAT